GTCCGACTTTGCACATGCGCAGTAAGGATCGGGGAGTCCTGATCCGTCACTATCTTTTTATTTTTTTGTTTTTCTCTACATTATATTAAATGTTTCATTATCGGAAATATTTTAAGAGATACTTGTTATTCTTAACATCTTAACAGATACTCTGACCTGTAACTATCGTAAAACGCTACGACCGGAAGTAGACACCTTTCGCGCATGCAGGGTACCGATCGGGTTTCCGGTACGGATCGGGTAGTGACACATACAAATCGGGTCTACCCGATCCGTACCGCGCATGTGCAGGGGTTTTCTTCTTCTTCTGTTCGTTTAATGGCAGTTCACTCCCAGTATAAGAGGATACTGCCACCTGCTGACCAAGCCAATGAACCCTATTGTAAACTGAATTAGCGTCATTACAAACGTGTGTTAAATTTGATTTAGTGATAGTCGAGTGTGTTTATGCTTGTCTGTGTGGAGAGGATTGTTGGAATAGTGATGATGATGTCCGCTTACACTGTCAATTGTCAGTAAACACTTCATCTGGCTGATGAATCTACACGTGAGATATTACAAAGTCTGTATTATTAACTTTGTAATTAGGCGCCATTCTTCTTATTTTACCGCGCTGTTGTTCAATCGGGGGACGCTCTCTGTTGAGGAGAAAAGCATGAATTTGTTTGTAAACGGATTATCCATTGTTTAAATGTCCCGGTACTCGGAAAGGAGGCAGAGCTGCTGAGAAATGCTAGGAGCTAACTGGGCGCTAACCGTATCATTCAAATATATTGAATGTCGCAATGTTGGCAAAGAGAGGAAGTGACGTAAGATTTGCGCATGCGGGGTACCGATCAGGTTTCGGGTAGCGACATAGCCTTCGTCGCGCTGTTCAGGTTGCCTAGCGACCATGATACTAACCGCGAGAGACGCGAGATTGTGTGACATAAATGAAGGAGAAAAAAATGTTTTGTTGGTCATTCATTGTTGTCATGACATCACTTTGATTAGTTGAGTATCTGAGGCTGAGACCACAGGACTGTAAAACATGAT